GTAGTACTTATAAAATCGAATCCACATAAACCAAGTGACCGTCTATAAATCCTATAAAGTAAAGCAAATGTAAGATAAAAAAATATGAATTGTGTTTGTTTATGGATCACAAACTAACAAATAAATGACTTAAAATTTCAATAAAGGAAACCGTCAGATTTTACGATTATCGCAAAATACTATGAATTGCAAAAAGTCATATCACGCAATAGAGAATTGATTAAAGATCGTTTTGAGCTCAAATCACTGATGTATAACTAACCTATTCTCGCATCACTACTTATTATATATATCTAACCATCTAAAATTCTAAACTCTCATTTAATTCTTATGAAATTAAACATGCAATAAGATAAGGTTCGAGTTGTTCAAACCCATTTCGGCCCACGGACATCAAACCTGTTTTAACATCACTATCCTTACCATACATTTTGCCTTAGTCATTGTAAAGTTCCCATTGTATATATAATTATATATTCACCCAAATGAAATAAAAAACCAAAACTATCGTTAAATTATCTAATAATTAAATCAAAGACAAGAGAACACCGACTCATCATCCCCGTAAAGGCGTAAAGGGACAAATGAATGCAAACAAATATAGCACACAAATGTGGACATCTGTTTGTACATAAGTCCGTCCGTTGCATATGAACATCTTAGAAATTTAAGTAGTTTTTTTTGGTCGGCAAATTTCAAGTAATTATTGCGTCTTTCTTGTGACTATTTAAAATTCTTTTATAAAAAACAGCCTTTCTATTTCTATTGCTCGAGGCCATATATGTAATAATTTTTCAGCCAAAGCAAATTTAGTCAGTACAAGTTGGATTAGGTATATAGGCTCATACTTTTTATGTAAATACATTACTAAATAAAGAGAAAAAAAAACTAATTACTCATCGGGAACTTTTTTAAAGAATTACTCATACGTTAACGTTGTGGAAAAATTCTTAATTTTTGTAAGAAGATCTTTAAGAGTTTAAGTGGTCCTTTAATCATCTTTACTCTTTTCTAGGACGTTTTTAATATTTTGCCAACCTAAAATTTGTGCATTTTTCTGTAATTTTCGTACTATGGTGAAAATTTTGATTTTTTTTCATTCTAAATCTGGTTTTTGTTTTAATATTGTTCATATAATTCTAAGTTTATTATAGAAGATAGTAAATGATGCCGTTAGCTCAGAAAGAAGATAAAAAGTGGCATTATCCTAACATGTTATAGAACATGGGTTGGATCAGAACCTAACACCAATCTCCAGGAAGGTTCGTGTTTGGTTTCGTTTCCAGAGAATTCTAAGTGTAAAGATACATTCCCCTCATGCAGCATGAGGCATGCTATTATGTAAAACTAAAATGGCCTCATTACCCTCTTTAATCACCCATAATTATTTGGTATATACTATAACCTAATTGTTATTAAAATAATTCTAAACAGGGGTGCACGATATGACGAATAGAAACATCGACTAATTAAAAATAGTCTCCTCAGCTACCGTTGTATTGGTGAACCTAATTGATCAGGCCATTAAGAGAAGACAACACATAGAAAATTAGAAAGAAACCAAAGTTTTCATATAAAAGAACAATTATTCTTCTTCGAATCATGTCGGATATAGCTTTAAATGTTAAGACATAAGCTGTACTCAACACAATAAACTAATAAGTAAAAACATACGAGCAGCCTTATTCCTAGCACATGCACATATACATATATATGAGCCTTATTCCTAGCACATGTACAACTACTGCTCTAAGACACAACC